AATAGATCTGTTTGGAAGAAATGCAGCCAGAGTGCTCCTTGGAGGCCAAGATGGCCAAACTTTGTCTCTCATATTTCGGACATATTGTCAGGAAGTACCAGTCTCTGGAGAAGGATATCATGTTTGCTAAGGTGGAGGGTCAGAGAAAAAGAGGAAGATGGATTGGCCAGTTGGCAGCATCAATGGGCTCAAGTGTGGCAACAGTAGTGAAGTTGGCCCAGGACCAGGCTGTGTTTCATTCTGCTGTGCATAAGGTTGCTGTGAGTCAGCTCCGACTCGATGGCACCTAACAACAACAACAACAGTGCTACCAGAGCGCCCTAATCAAAGGCATAGAGGGTAGGATTTACAATATATCATGAAATGGAGCTAATTAAATAATTAGCTACCCTGCTGGACTAGGATTAATGTTAGCGGTTGGACTAGGGCTAAGAGTAAGTAAGGCTTGGTTTACTTTTAGGGTTATAGTTAAGTTGAATATTTTTTTTTGTCTTGACATCTATTTGATTGCCACTTCATTTGAAAGTTCTGTAACTGCATTGTTCTATGCTTCCACTTTGTGGTTTTTTGTTGTGCAAGCTGGTATCTCTGGTTCTCTATTTTCAGTCTTGTAAGTTTGTTTCACTTTGAATACTTCTATATCTGGGTTGTAGGACTCCTGGTGTGGTGCTGTGGATTAATGCACTAGACTGTGTAGTTGGTTTGAATTGCGAGGTCAACGGTTCAGGTTCACCAGCCATTCCTCAGAAGCCCTATACAGGGTTACTATGGGTTGGAACTGACTTGATGGCACTTAACAATGACATACCTGGGTTGTGGTGCTGTAGGATAAGCACTGGAATGCAAGGTTGGTTTGAACCACAGGGTCAACAGTTCAAACTCACCAGCCACTCCTCAGAAACCTTGTACAGGGTTGCTGTGGGTTTTAACTGACTCAGTGGCACTTAAGAACATATCTGGGTTCTGGTGCTGTAGGGTAAGCACTAGAATGCAAGATTGGTTTGAGCCTCAGGGTAGACGGTTCAAACTCACCAGCCGCCCCTCAGAAACTGTATACAGCACTTAACAACAACTTTGTTTTACTTTGAATATTTCTTTATCTGGGTTGATTTCTGGGTGATGTTGTCATTTATGTAAACCTCAGGTTATTGTCTGCTGTTGTTGGTTCTCTGTCTAAAGAACTTCTTTTAATATTTTTTCTAAAGTTGGTCTGGTTTGTGCAAATTCTTTAATTTCTGTTTATCTGGAAATGCCCTAATTTCACACACACAGTTAGATGAACAGTTTTGCTGGGTACGATTCTTGGTTGGCAATTTTTTTTTTCAGTGTTTTGTCTTTGTCATTCTGTTGCCTTCTTGTTTGCATGCTCTAAGAAACTAGAGCTTAGTCTTAATTGTTCTCCTTTGTAGGTAACTCTTGTTTTTTCTGATCTGAACTCAGGACTTTTTTCTTGTTTTTAGTTTTGAAAAGTTTGATTATAATATGTCTTGGTGATTTTATTTTGGGGTCTGTCCTATTGGGAGTTCATTAAACTTGTTGGTTGGCTACATTTTCATCTTTTGTGATGTTAGGGAAATTTTCTTCCATTAATTCTTTTACAATTTATTTATTTTTTGGTCTCTTCTTGTTCTGGAAATCTAATCAAACGTAAGTTATTCCTCTTGATAGTGTCTCACATAAATCTTCCAATTTTTTATTTCTTTTTCTGATTGTTCCACTCGAAGATGAGTATTGAGAGATTTGTCTTCATGCTCACTTATTCAGCCTTCTATTGATTTAGTTATACTTCTTTACCCTTTAATGTATTGTCTATTTTTGAAGTCTTAGTATTAATCTTCTGACTTTCTAAAGCTGTTTTTGTATGGTTTCCAATTTTCATTTATTTTGTCTGATCGTGCTTGTGGTGTTCTCTTGAATGCTTCTAAAGTTTTTATTTTTTTAATTTAATTTATTTTTAAATGTTTTATTGTGAATTATGTTTACATGGGAGAACATTAGTTTTACATTCATGCTTCTAAAGTTTTTGTGTGTTCTTGCTTTTGTTATTTCTCTCAATTCTTTTAATATTCCTTATCAAGTAGTTCTGAAACCACTTCTGGTAGTATATTTTCTGACTGTATTTTGGTTACTTATTAGAGACACTCAGTCTTGTTTCTTTGTGTAAACTGAAACTGCCTCATTGTATTTATAGTTAATTGATGACTGTATGTTGGTGTGTTCTCAAACTTTCACCACCTGTCTCCTGGTGAATGTGATAGAAGACCAAAAGTGTGAACTCAGTTCTGTCTTCTCTGTGTCGAGTAATTCAGGGCGTGTGCATGTGCCTCTAGAACCAGGGGTGAGCTTCTAGCACCCAACCCCAGGCATAGTCAAAGATGCGCAGTAGTGGATGCCACTGGCTGTTAGGTTGGGTATGGCTGGACTGCCCATTCCCCCAGCTACCGGAAGGACAAGGGAATAAGGGAGAACAGCACCTTTTTGTCATCAACATCCAGTTGAGTCCTGTGCCTGCAAAAACTCCACACCAGCTGACAGCCCACCTATTTTTCTTCTCTCGCTGCCCCTGTGCAGCTTCCTCTTTCAGTCATTACTTCTCAGTCCCCCTCTCTGTCCTAGCCTCTGAAGCTCAGGGCTCCAAGATAATAACCATCTGTATCTGTTTCACTTGTTCTCCAATGTTTTTGTTGTAGTGCATCTGGCTACTCTGCCATCTTGCCTCGAACTCTGTGTAACTTTCTGAGGAACCACTCAACTGTTTTCCACAGCAGCTGCACCATTTTCCATTTCCAGCAGATAGAGTCCTGGTGTGGTGCTATAGCATAAGCCTTTGACTGCTAAGTATGAGCTTGGCAGGTCAAACCCACAAGACACTCCTCAGAAACTCTGTACAGGGATGCTATGAGTCTGAACCAACTCAATGCCACTTAGCAACAGCAGCAGTGGATGAGGGCTCCAATTTCTCCAGAGCTGTTCCAATACTAATTTTTTTCTGTTTTTCTGGTTGTAACCTCCTAATGCTACCTTATACTTTTTTTTATCTTTTTATTTAACAGAGAAGTGCAACAGTTTCCTCCTGCTGTTAGAAACTCCTCCGAGGTGAAATTTGCCGTTCAGGCCTTTGTTGCGCTGAATAGTAACAACTTCGTGAGATTTTTCAAACTGGTCCAGTCTGCCTCTTACCTGAATGCCTGTCTTTTACATTGTTACTTTAATCAGGTGAGTGATGTAGGTATGCTTGCAGAATTGGAAGAAAGCAGACTGTTGCTTAACATACTGTTAGGTGCTTCTCTGTTCTGGCAACGTTGCTGGGCAGACTGGGATTCTTGTGTGTCATCCTTTGACTACTCTACCATGGGCTACCCGTGTTATTACTGACTATGTCAGAAATGACAGTATGTGGAGGAGAATACTATCCTTGTGGTTCAGATAAGAGACGTCTCTTTATGATGCCAACACAGCATGTTGTCTTCTATGAAAACAAATTGAAAACCTTCAAGAACATAGTAATGTTGATCTAAATTTGTGGCATGAGCCTGCTGATGCTGAACTTGCCTCAGTAAGTATCTCAGCACTTGCTCTGGGCACTGGGTTACAGAGACAACAGGAAGTTGAGGTTTGCACTGTGTAAATCCTCATGGGATTGGCATTCCCAGAGTCACTCTGCAGCTCCCACTGTGGAGCCTCAGTGATCCCAGAGCAGCCCTGCCTGCCTGTCACCTCACTTCCCATGGTACCCCGTCTCTCCTACCCTCTGTGCTACCCCTATGACTGGGAAGTTAGGAGTACCTGTCCTCTTTGCAGGGAGCCCTTGAGCTTCCGTCGGGGAGGGATGTGTTACGATTGGGAAGAGACTGCCCTCATTTGAGACAGCTGTTTCTGTGGTGGGGATTAGAGGGGTGGACAGGGTTGGATATGTGAGTGGATCAAACTCACTTCTCCCTCCAGATCCGCAAAGACGCGCTCAGGGCCCTCAATATGGCCTACACGGTGAGCACACAGCGGTCCACTGCTTTCCCCCTGGACAGTGTGGTGCGCATGCTGCTCTTCCAAGACAGTGATGAAGCGGTTGACTTCCTCAGCTACCATGGCCTGGCTGCTTCTGATGGGTGAGCTCCAGGGGCACGGGCTCCTTGCTCTCTCTTCCTTGAGGGCACCAGCTGTGGGCCTGGCTGGGAAGCATGGGCTTGTTGGGGTTTTTCCAAACCTTGAAGCCCTTGGGGAGCTGCCCTCCCTCCTTGTCTGAGCAGGAGTGCTGTTCCACATGGGTCTGGTTTCCTGGAGAACACTAAGGCCTCTGCTGCTATATCAGCCTTGGCTGCACCTTCCTCCTTCCATTGTGGGGTGAAGGACAGCATGGTTGATGGCCTTGTGTAGAAGGTGAGGCATCATCTCATGTGTGGCATATGTGTGGTTTCTTTGGCACTTGAGCAGCTGTGTTGAGCTGAACCGGTCGGTGTTCCTGGAACCAGAGGGCTTGTCCAAAGCCAAGAAGTCTGTGTTCATCACCCAGAAGCTGATGGTATCAGTCGGGGAGATTGTGAATGGGGGACCGCTGCCCCCTACCCCCTGCCACACACCTGTGTGCAGCTTCAATTCCCAGAACAAGTATGTTGGAGAGAGTCTGGCTACAGAGCCGACCACTGGCCTCCAGAGACCTGGCGCAGAGACTACCAGTGAGTGGGGCAGTTGGGTGGAGGGTTCCCTGTAGGTTCCCTGTGGTCTCTTGGTTATCTGTGGGGTGGAGAGTGTGAACATAACTCAGTGATTGCCATCCTGCTGGCTGTCTCTGAGGACCTCACCGTCCACCGCCTTGGTCATGGCAGTGGACTCCCTTTCCGGGGTAAGGGAATCAGGTAGCTGGTGTGGTGGCCTGGCTGTCCCTGCATGCAAGCCCTGCATTTCTCTGTTTCCTCCAGGTGGTGGGAGAGGTGAGGAACGCCACACAGAGTCCACTGTGCCCTCTCCAGGGCTGTTTCCGCAGTCCCTGGCCCACATGTCCTTGCCAGGATCTCTGCCTCATCTCCCAGCTCCATCTGCAGCTGTGGCACCCAGCCTCTTCCATCCCCCCATGCAGCCGGAGCTCCTCCCACCGAGGCTGGCACCCGTGTACTCTGACGCGGTAGGGACCTTCAGGATTCAAACTTCAAATGCTGTCTAGCATGGGTGTCAGTGATTGACCTCTGTGTGGTCTTGGGGGTGTCACTGCACAAAGCACTCCTGTGGTTTTGTGCTCCTTGAGGCTTCAAGAAAGGGGACTTGTGTGAGGTTTTCTATCTATTACTTGTAATAGTTACTGGCTTTGAAACTTTGGAGTGAGCTGAAGGACTTACAGATGTAGTAGCTGATGCCTTTATTAAAGGTTGAAATCAGCCTGTACTGGCCCTCCATGATAAGCACTCTATAAACGTATGTTCCCCCTCTTCACCATGAGGTGGGCTGCACCATGCAGTACAGACAGGGAACAAGGAAGGACCCAGTGCTAACCTGGCTTCAGACTGTCAGCCAGCACGTGATGCAGCAGGGCCAACCCACAAATCACTGGAGCCCCCTCCACACCTACAGAGGCCACAGCGATGCTTGAGAGGTTCATTTTGTCCATTCACTCTCTGTCCAGAGTCCTCACGGGTCTTACCTAACTGTTACCATTGTGCCTGGCCATGTGGAAGAGCTGAGATTAAGTGGATTGAGTGTGTGGGGGTCAGGCGGGCAATGGACTGGGGTCCCTAGTGTCCATACGACCATGGCCTTGAGTGTACCATGTTGACTGCTCGGCAGGTGCAGCTAGGGTCAGGGTCCCTAGACAGAAGCATGGCTAGGAAAAGGCGCTGGCCAGGGCACCATGGATCTGAGTGGGGGTCGTTGCCAACCCATTCACTCAGAGACCGATTGGGAGCTATCAATGGCCTTGGCTCATCTCTGGAAGCCACCCAGTAGCAGCACAGCCCTTGTGGTCATGTTCTCTGTCCCAGGAGCCTGCAGTCAGTGCTTGGTGGTCCCCAGGTGGAGACTGTGAAGGGATGTTATGTTGAAGGGACCTGCTTCTCCTTTTGTAAGATTCTGAAGGCCTTAGTCTTCCAGGCTGTGGGCTGGATTATCCACTCATCTGTGATTTGTGGATTTGAGATTCTTTGCCAGCCAGACTGTATGGAAGGCTGCTCTGTGTGTGCAGTGCCCGCTCCTGATGGCGTGTCCGTCTGTCTCTAGGACATTGCTCAGGTGGTGGACGAGATCATCCAGGAGGCCCTCCAGAGGGACTTTCAGGAGGTTGGCGCCATCGGGGCCGCGTATGCAGCCACAGCCATGGGGTGAGTGCTGGCCTGGAGTGCATGCTGGCCCTTCCTATTCTAAGACTGCTCATGCACTGCCGCCTCCCTTCATGTCTTTTCTCATAAAGTGTTCTGTGTCCCTAAAGAGGCCACATGGGCCAGGTCCCCATCACCCCCAGTCCTGAGGGGTGTCTACGCCTGTGTTCCTGACCCCCTACTTCCATTGGTGTGTAGTTTCCACATGTGTGTACTTGTTGAGCAATAGCTGATTAAAAGTCATACATTTAAAACCTATTTTCTTTAAACATAAATTACAAATAAGAAATTGAGTAAGTCATAAAATTAGTTCATTTTCTGTGAAAATTAAAAGCACTCACTTTTATTTAATCCTGGGTTAAGGTTCACTTAGTTTATAATTTGGTAGATTAAGTCCCTTAAATGTTGTGCACCCTTTCCATTTTACACAATGATGAAATTTCCTCAGACATTGTAAACTGTAAGTGTAAGTTTAGTATACTTTTATCTGTTTCTGCTGAGTGCTTCAAACATTAACAGAATTGGTAATCAAAATCTTTCTGAGCTCCAAAATGACGTTCGTAAAGCTAATAAACTTGTTAAATGAGTGAAACCAGATTTTCCTAAGGGTCCCAAGAGTCTTGTAAACTCCCAGTGTACCCAGCAGCTCAGTGGGGCACGGGGAGGGGGCAGGGAAAGGGAGGCTGCTATTGCATTTTGTGGATATGAGTCTCAAAGGATCACCTCTTCCGAGAGTGCAGGATGCTGTGCGTCTCAGTTAGATGCAGCCCTTCTGATGGAATAGAAATGAGCGTGGCCCCATGTGCTCCCTTTCGATGCTGAAAAGCTGGCAGTGATGCCTTCTGCTGCACTGAGCTTCATTGTCTGGCTGCTTGAGGCCTTTGCCCATCGGCTGCTGAGTGGCACTTCTCTCTGCAGCATGTCTTTTCTGGCTGCGGAGGAGCTCCTGGCAGCTGCCACTGAGGGCATCCTGAGGGCTGCTGCAGTTGAGGGTGTGAGTGAGGTGCAGGCAGAGGAGGAACAGCGACGGGCAGAGGAGGAGAGGTGAGTGCAGGCCCAAAGGAGGAGGGATGGGAGATGCTGACCCTGATGGTTGACCGCTCCCCCGCACTTACACCGTCTAGGAGTCCTGGTGCCTAGTGGAGCAGGAAGGACAGGCTGACTGGCTTGGTCACATAACCCACGTTTCCATTGATAACTTCAAGTTATTCTCAGATGTTACTCTTGTGCTTTTTATCTTGTAACTTCAGGTTGAAACAGGAGAGAGAGCTGGCTTTAACTCAGCTGAGCCAGGGCCTGGCTGCAGAGCTGACGGAGTTAGCGGTGGCAGAATGTATCAACGAGACTGCTGCCCAGGAGCTGAAGTGAGTGATTCGTGGGGACCTGTGTGCAGGGCCAGGCTGGCTAAGGTTGTCACCTAGACCCTGGCCCAGGCTGCCTGGCTCGTTCTGCATGGGGCTGGGTACAATTCAGGGTTGTTGTTGTGAAGTGTCGTGGAGTGGATTCTGACCCATAGGGACCCAGTATAGGGTTTCCGAGGAGCAGCTGGTAGCTGGGTTTTAATTGCACTTGAGAAGCAGCGTATCTTTTGGGTAGCCAAATGAACACCATAACTTGTGCATGTGTGCGTTTGGGCGTTTGTGTGTGCTGCCCCAGGGAGTGCAGGCAGGTCTGCACTGTTCTCCCCAGGCTTCATCTCAATCTGACCCTGCACCTGGTAAAAGATCCCCCATAGCATCCTCATCAAACCAGCCCCTCTCCTTAGCTGTTTTCAAGGAGGGGAAGATTCTTGCCATTTTCAAGTGCTCAAAGATCTGAATGCTGCCTCAAGGAAGGACTATATTCAATGACACAGACTCGGATTGCATTGCCGAGCTTTAGGAGGAAAGAGGCACCAATTGTGTAGAACTCTTCCCATGAGCTGAAGAGTGGGTTTGGGGCCACACTGGCCAGTAGCGTAGCTTCTCACCAACGGGATCCAGAACAGTCTGGAGCCCACGGGTCACTTAACTAGTGACAATTCCTGACATGATGGTTGGAAGCCTGTTTCCCTTCCAGTGTAGGAGGGCCTTAATCACAAAGGTTGTGTCTATTTTCAGTCCGGGAAAGTCTCTCAGGAGATAACATGACTGGAGTTTGGGATGTGCATGGAAAGTACTGCTCTCCTGAATTCCAGAAGCTGGGTCTATACAGCCTCAGCCTCATGGTGATATTTGTTGGGAGCCTGTGAAACCACTTTGGCTTTTGTCTCAGTACACTTGACAATGTCTTCTGTGTTCCCTTGGCTGGCCAAATTTTGTTATAAAACTTCTCCCTGAGAGCTCCCACAGGATGACCACAGGCACCCAACTTGGGAGCAGCCAGCAAGGATCTGGACTTGAGATACTTAGTTACAGGTGGCTCATATTGCTAATGAGGAGGTTTTGCAGTTGTCTCAATGGTCATTTAAACATTAAGTATTTCTTATGACAAATGCTTATTTCTCGATTGTTTTCAGGGCTACCATGGGCCTTGTAATGTGCTCTGAACCATTTTCTTCTGTTGTCCCCATTGTTCCTGGTCTGTATAATATATGTGTTTGCAAATCTTAAAGCATCTCTTGACGACAAGACTTAGTTGCACTTAGAAATTCAAGACTTAAGCAGTTCCAGGTCAGCTTGGCTCTTGGTACCTGGCCTGGGCATGACCTTCCTGCATTGACTGCCCTCTTTTTTAGATGTGCAGTAGAATCTGACCAGCGGGCTCGTCTGGACCGCTGCTGTGAGGATGTCTGTGCCCATTTGGTGAACTTATTCTTGGAGCAGGAAACTTTTCAGACAGCAAAGGAGACCCTTCAGGAGCTTCAGTGCTTCTGCAGGTATCTAAAGAGGTAAGTCTGGTAACCAGGTAAAATTCTACCAAATGGCAGAGTACATGAGCCACCAGCACATTCTTCAATCAGTAATGAGGATCAGACAGTGTATTATTGCAGCAGTGAATCCCTGTTTCTGCACTATTTGGATTATACTTCCATAAACAGTTGATCACTTTTGATTTTGTAACAAAATAAATAAATAAAAGACATAATAACCAAATGTAATAGAATGAACTTTCTTTGGCTCCAAACCTTTAAAAGATCATTTCAGAGATAATTGGAGAAATTGAAATACGACTGGGTATTTTATATTAAAAAATTACTATGAAAATTAAAAAAAAGTTGATCACATACACACATGCACATAATCACATGTGTACACACCCACACATTTTTTTTTACATTGCTGTTGTTAAGTGTTATCGAGTTGGTTCCAACTCATAGCAACCTTTTATCGTGTTTCCAAGGCTTTAAGTATGTGCAGGAGCAGAAAGCCTTATCTTTCTCCTGCGGAGTAGCTGCATGCTCAAACCGCTGACCTTGTGGTTTACAGGCCAATTGCTTGTGGTATGGAGCCACTAAGCTCCCATTATATAGACATTTGTTGTTGTTAAATGCTATTGAGTCGGTTCCAACTCATAACAACCCTGTATAGGGTTTCTGAGGAGCGACTGGTGAGTTTGAACTGCCGACGTTGTGGTTTAAAGTGACTTTGCAGTCCACACTTACCGTACAGTGCTTTATATGTATGTTGTTGTTAAGTGCTGTTGAGTAGGTTCTGACTCATAGCGACCCTGTATAGGCTTTCCAAGGAACAGCTGGTGGTTCTGAACTATATACATAGAGACCTAATTATTTTGCCAGGAAAGCCTGTCTTTGCAGTGTGACCTCAGGGCACTAGACTGGGGTTGGTGTATACCCAGGTGGAGGGATGCTGTTGCCGCCAGAAAGAAGCTGAGACGCCAGATGCGGGCCTTCCCTGCAGCCCCCTGTGGTGTGGACATGGCCAACCGACTGAGATCACTGGCCCCAAGTGCTGAGTGCACCATTACTGCAGAGAACCTGGCCCGGGGCCTCCTGAACCTGGGCCACGCGGGCAAGCTGGGTGTCTCCTGTACCAGGTCAGCCCCTCACACGAGGCCCTTCTGATCTTCCCCAGGTCAGCACCCACCCCATCCCCCGAGCCTCCTACCCCCAGGTCAACCTCACCTTAACCCCTTTAAGGCCTTTTTGGTCTCTTAACCCCATTTGGCTTTACGTGATGACAGTGGGGGCTCCTGCAGACTGGGTGTATGGAGTTGACCTTCCCTGCAGTCTTAGGACTCCTGGCTCAGGTACCATGTGCCTTTTTCCCTGACTACTCCAGTCACATCAGTGGAAGTTTTGTCATGAATTCCCTGTATTTTACCCAGCCTTCCCTTCTTGTTGGTAAAGCCAGAGGCCCCACCCGGCCCCCACCTCTCGCCATGCTCTTCCCTGCTCCATTTCCTGGCTCTCTTGCTCTTCTCACGCACTGCAGCTTGCTTACCCTACACCCTCTGCTCCCTCAGCACATCTTACCAATCCTCCCTCCCTCTTCAGTCATACCTTTCCCTGCAGCCTGCAAGCTCCTTACAGTGTAAATTGACCCATCCCTCCCTGCATGAGATCCCTCAGTGTTCTCTTCACTAGCCCACAGGTCCTTTGAGTGACCCTTCCAGACCAGTCACCCTACCCTCCTGGCCCCTCACATAGGCTTAACGCTTCTCTCTCTGCAGACTGAGGCAGCTCAGGGACACTGCTGCTCACCGCATGAAGGTCCAGCATTTCTACCAACAGCTGCTGAGGTGAGTCTCAGAGTTCCGGTGATGGCTGCCCTGCCTGAGGCTTCAGTCAGCTTACTGCAGTGTTCTGTCCCCACAGGGATGTGGCATGGGCACCCTTGGACCTGCCTACCCTTGTGGCCGAGCACCTTCCTAGATGGAGGGAGCACGTGTTCTGGAAGCTGGTATTGGTGCTACCCGATGGAGAAGAGTTGTCCCCAGAGAGTCCCAGCAGGTCAGGCAGCTCGTGAGCAGGTGGGGAGTAAGGTGGAGGAGTTAGTGGTTTCTTCCTCTTGGTGTCCCTGGAGCAGCAACGCAGGGCAGCTGGACATCTTTAGACTTTATCTAGTTTGTTCGTGATTTGAAGTGGATACTTCAGATTATTTCAACTTTTCTTCTATGATCTTGGCAGCAATAGTCTTTATCCAAAAGCGCTGACAAGTTGATGGTCACTTAGGGTTAAGCTCTGGTGCATTGACCAGAGTCCCCTTGTTTTAGACTCTTGGTGAAGAAAATTCATCGCTTGTCTGTTAGTGTCATTTCTTATTCTTATAGAAAACAACTTTCGGTATTCTTAAAAAGTAATAATCCATATTGGCATATATGCTTTCACAATTATTTAGAAAATAACCAAAATACTGACATGACATAATTTCTTGGAGCCAAGAACCATGCTTTTTAAAGCTATTGTAGAGCACTTTTCTTTTTAGTTTGTTTGTCTTTAACAGCTCTGTTGTTGTTGCTACGTGCCGTCAAGTCGGTTCAGACTCATAGCGAACTTGTATAGGGTTTCTGAGGAGCAGTTGGTGAATTCAAATCACTGTTCTTGTGGTTCAAACCAACCTTGTGGCCCCGCAGCACCCCAATAACTTTATTGATGCATAATTCACATACCATAAAATTGACCCAGTCACAGTGTGTAATTCAGTAGTTTTTAAAATGCATTCACACTATAAGTTTTAGAGTATTTTCATCACCCTGAAAAGAAACCCTGTGCTATAAAGCAGTCATTCTCCATTACCCTCTTTCTCCAGCCTCCAGAAACTAAGATTCTGCTTTATAACTCCATAGATCTCTCTCTTCTGGACCTTTCACATCAGTTGGATCATACAATATTTGTCTTTTGTAATTGACATTTTTCACTGGGCCGTAATGTTTTCACAGTCCATCCATGTCATAGTATGTATCACAACATTTTTTTTTCCCTTTCTTTATTTTTTATGGCTGGATAATATTCCATTGTATGGATTGATCACATTTTAAATCTTTTTCTATTCATCATTTGGAGGACATTTGTGTTCACTTTTTGGTTATTGTGAATAATGACACTATGAACCTACAAGTTTTTGTGGAGATGTATGTTTTCAGCTCTTTTGGGCTTATATCGAGGAGGTGGGATTGCTGAGTTATGGGATAGCTGTGTTGAAGTCACTGAGGAGCTGCTGGACTGTTTCCACAGCACCTGCACTGGTATACATTCCCACCAGCGTGTATAAAGGCTCCAAGTTCTCAGAACATACTATGTTTTAAGCAGTTAGCATTGAACACTTGCAGGTTAAGGAAAGAAGACGGGTTCTCATCTCTTAAACATCTGAGCAAAGAGGAGAATGTGGCTTTCTCAGAAAGTTTAAGTGATGATTCGTGTCTTAAAGCAGCATGTTTCTGATTTGTTAATAAGTTCATTAGGAAATCTATCTATGTCACTTGTTATTAAGTGCCTCTGAGTCTGTTCTGATACTTAGCAGCCCTGTATAGGGTTTCTGAGGAGGTGGCTAGTGGGTTTTAACTGTCATCCTGTGGTTAGTAATCTAGTGCATAACCTACAGCAACACACCATATATCACTTGTTGTTGTTGTTGTTAAGTGCCGTTGAGTCGGTTTCGACCCATAGCGACCCTGTACAGGGTTTCCGAGGGTGTAAATCTTTACGGGAGTAG